ACAACGACACGTGGTAACCCAAAACAGTGGATTATCTCCTCTTTCACGAACTTCAGCACCTCTTCTGCCGTCGAGGTGACAGTGGCCTTCGCAATCGGCCAGCCAGTCAGGTGCTCCACGGCAATAAGGATGTACCTCCCTCCAGAGGGCGTACGAGGCAATGGTCCCGCAAAATCGATAGAGTATGTATCAAATAACGAAGTCATGGGAAATCGAATGGTGGTCTTGTACTTCGGAATTGGTGTGGCTTTCTGACAACCGTCACAACCCCGAACGTAGTCGTTCACGTCTCGGTGGACGGCAGGCCACCAATATCGGTCCAAGACGAATCTCTTCGTCGTTTGCAGATCGCAATGGCCTATTTCGTCGTGAAAGGCTCTAATGATCCTTCTGCGAGCCCCTATAGGCGGATAGCGCGTAATCCATTGTTGGTCCTACGGAACAGTTGTCCATTACAAGCCATGAAACGTTTGGTGCTTCGGCGGTTGAGCCGACGTCGACGAACATCCACTTCCCTCATATCAATGCCCCGAGGTACCTTGAAATGTCAATAAGATGAGGTTCCCACTCCATTTGCGCCTCTAGAGGATCCGAAACACTGCAGACAAGATCTCCCTCGTCGTCAGAGTCGACTCCATCCTCGCCCTTGGCTTTCAGGCGGGACAGGAAGTCAGCTGCACCGTTCTTTCCTCCCGGGCGGTACTTAATTTCGAATTCGTATTCTGCTAGGAAGTCCATCCACCTTGCCAACCTCCCGTGAATGTCTTTCTTCTTAAAGGCATACTGCAGGGCTTGGTGGTCTGTTATTAGCGTGAACTTCTGTGTTGAAAGCAGGTAAACTCGGAACTTCTTCAAAGCGAAGATCACAGCCAGGGCCTCTCGCTCACAGGCGGAATACTTCCTCTCGGCTGACGTCATCGTGCGACTTGCGTACTGGATCGGGTGGACTTTCCTGTCCTCTGTTCGTTGGGCCATAACAGCTCCGACGGCGACCGAGGATGCATCAGTCTCCACGACAAAAGGTTGTTCGAAGTCCGGACGCCAAGACTGGCGGGGAGGTTAACTTGAGCTTAAGCTTCTCGAATGCCTCCTGCATCTCCGCCGTCCACTTAAAAGTCCGTTTAGTAGACGTCGCCTCATGTAACGGAGCAGAGATCTCGGCGAACTTAGGAATGAAGCGGCGGTAGTATCCCGCCAGACCAAGGAAGCTACGAAGCCCTGTCGCATTGGACGGCTCCTTCTCCCTCTTAATAGCGCTGACCTTTTCGGGGTCCACTTTGACGCCATCTCTGGTGACTATGTGTCCAAGCAGTCGCGTTTGGGACTGTGCAAAGCTGCATTTTGAGATCTTAAGCTTCAGCCCGCTCGTAGCAATCACCTTGCAGACTTCACGTAAGTGTGAAGTGTGCTCTTCAACGGACTTCGAGAAGGCGACTACGTCGTCTAAGTAAACTCTCACGAAGTTAAGCCTTTGGAAAAGCTGGTCCATCATCCTTTGGAATGTAGAGGGGGCGTTCATTAACCCGAACGGCATCACTTCGAACTGAAACGTCCCAAAACGGCAGACGAAAGTCGTCTTCTCTTTGCAGTTCTCAGCCATCCGGACTTGCCAATACCCCGAGAACAAGTCAAGCGTTGTGAAGACCGAGCTCCCCTCTAAATCATCGAGGATCTCCTCGATCTTTGGCAAGGGCCAACGATCGGCTTTCATTTTGCGATTGAGGGTGCGGTAATCTACACAGAACCTGGGTTTTCCGTCTTTCTTCGAGGCGATAACGATAGGGAAGGATCAGGCCGAAATGGAGGGGGTAATTATTCCCGCCTCCAACATCTTACGAAGCTCCTCACGTACCACTTCATTGTGGCGTGGCGGAAGCCTGCGTGCAGCGTGGGTAATGGGGCTTCGATCTTCTAGCTCAAACGAGTGAGACACCGGAACATCTGCCGGTCTTAAATCGTCGAGTGACCAAGCTACGATCCCTGAGTTCTGGATAGAATTCACAATGCTCTCCCTGGCCTCGAAAGCCAGGTGGCGCAATTTCTCTCCGAGAAGGGCTACTTGAAGCCGTTCCGGGCCTTCTTCATCTACTCTGCCATCTCCTTTCGCGTTTTCCGAGTCAGACTTTAGGCCCTCTTTCACTAGATCAGGAACCCCATCCAATTCATCTTCGACTCCATCCGGTAGCTTGGTGAGTCCCAAATCAGGTTCAAATGGTGGTTGGTCAAGAGTCGCCAAGACAAATTCATTGTCGCTTGTCGTAGACGAGCCAGGTACAGCCTCAGAATCAGAGGTGAAATCCTCACTATCAGTTGAGGCTGCACTCCGTGAAACGTGTTCCACATCCATGTTGAGTCCTAGTCTGGTGGTATCCTCACCTACTGTCATCTGCACATGTTGCTTACCAAGATCGATGCATGCCTGTAGTCCCTCAAGGGTCGGAAGCCCTATGATCAGGTCGAACGGCGATCCTTTCACGACTAGGAAGTCCAACTTCACGATAAGTTCACCGAACGATGTTGGTATCTGATGAAGCGATCCCAGGCAGGGCGCATTAGCACCATCTGCCACCGTGATATGCTTCTCAGTCGGTTGCGGGGAGAGGCAAAGCATAGACGCCAACTTTGGCGAGATTATGTTCGGTACGGCCCCAGAATCTAACAGGGCTTGAGCTTCCGTCCCATAAACCTTCACAGTTACCAGCCGCAGCCTTCGAGACTTCGTATCGGCGTGACCTGCGAAAGCACGACCACGGACTCTTTGTTTCGCAAACAAGCGGCCTATCTCCTTCTTTGCCACTTCCGCATCGCCGCGAACAAGCTGTCCGAAAGTGAGTCCGGAAGATGCGTTTGCAAGCTCCGAAACGACATTATACTTCCTCACATACTCCTAGAGGGATGTTTTCTGGTCACTTTCTTCGCTTTCTTCCTCTGGTGGGACCTCCTTGGCCCCGCCTGAAGTGGCAGAGCCCTCTTTTGCATCTCGAATGGTACAGGCGGGTTCAGAAGCCTGGGAATGGACACCTCCTCCCGCGTTTTGTGCTGCTTGGGAAGAGGTTCCTCGTCTGCGTTTCTCTTAGTGACGGCCACGACTTCTCCGTCGTTCGCCTCGTCAATATAGGTGACCTGGGCATTCCCTGCACCTTCTGTCGCAGGTGCTGTGGACGGAGTCGTGGCTCCTGCCCTCGGCAATGCCGTTCTAAGCCTGGTCCAGCACGTCTCCTTTTCATGACCAAGCTTCCCACAATGCGCACAACGAGTGTCTCGGCGCGGATTAGAAGGGCATCTGCTGGCCCCATGCCCCGGTTCTTTGCAGAATGAGCAGGTTCGGACCTGGCCACCTTGATCTGCTGTCTGATTCTTCTTTACCAACAAAGAAAGTTCTGCTAGACGTTCTGCTAGCACGTCCACTTTCTTTTCGATCTTGTCCGGCTCCTGGCGTGTTTCCGGTCTCTGTAGAATGCGCTTAGGCGCCGGAGGCTGAAGTTGCCTAGCATTGTGTGCAGCCATAAAGGCGTTGCGGCCAGACACGAAGTCCTTAACGGCCTTCTTGAGCGCCCCGTACGAGGTAGGTGCCCTATGCAAGACAAACTGTGACACGTCGGTGTGCTCCATGACCGCGTTCCGGAGTAGTCCGAACTTGGCTTCGGGGTTGAAAGCTGCTTTTTCGAAGCGGCGATCCATCACGTTTAACGACGCGAGCACGTCGTTGCTGTCCAACCTACTCGCGACTGCGAGCCGGATGTTTTCTTCCGGTTCAGGGACTGACTCGAAACGGTCGTGCAATGCCTTCTTGACGGCTTGGTAGTCGCTGGCCGCCTCGTTCAGTCCACCGTCTTGGCTGTACGTTTCATAGTAGTAGTCGAAAGCCTCCCCTTGCAGGTAACACAGTAGCTCTCCGGCTTTGTCTTCGTCGGACTTGCCTTTCATTACGACGTTTTCGTAGACAAAGAAGAACTTGGCGACATTCGCCTCGTGCTTACCATCGAACACCAGGGAAGCGATACCCGCCTGACTGTTGGTGTCGGCCCTCCACAAGAGTACCATGTTGGGGCGAAAACGGGGTACGTCGTCCCGTGTCTTACCCGTGTGTGTTTTTTTGTGATGTGTCTGTCCTCGGCCGTACAGGACGACCGAAAACCACTGCATTTATACTCTTTTTGCGCGCGGTCTACAATTACTAACCTAAACTTCCAATTACTTACACTGGTCCCAACCACGTGTCACAACAACGTCACACAAAAAATCTCCCTTTCCCGCCCTCTACGGCTAGTTTCCAGAGACGCTTCCCCTTCCCTTCGTGTTCGCAACTGCCACAAGACGCACCATTGTTCAGAGGACATTGCGGGTAAGCTGATTGCTGAAAGGTTCCAACAGGGAGTTTGACTCTGAGCGACGCACTCCTCGACGAATAAGGCAGGCCTCACAAGCCCCAGAGTGAAGGCCGTAAAATATCTGTAGAACAAGGCCATCAGTTATGATTTTTAGATGGGTTTGTGATGGTTTGTTGATGTTGGAGATGATTGTGAGACAATGGTGTGAGAGTCACAAAAACATTTGTGTGTGAATCACAAAACAGTCAACAAAAGAGCACTTCGAGATGTTGACGTCACAAAAATAAAGTGAGATTCACAAAAACAAAGCGAGATTCACAAAACTTGTGAGAACTTTGAGACGTTTGTGTGCATTTTGTGCAGTTTATGCCCCGATCACAAAATAGGACCACCCCACACTTTTCGGGGGGACACTACTCGAAAAGTACGGGTCTCCGGGAGACAAAACGTATATCTTCTTAACGACAACACAATTCTGCGTTCAACGAACCTACTCTCGGGACGTAGCGCTCAACAAGACCGAAGCAGGAGGAAAATAACCCGACTGGGGCAAAAAATAGCCGTCACAAAAAAGGAGCACAGGGCTAAACTTTCATTGCAAAATTTCATCGATTTCTCAGGAAGTCTTCATGGTGCCCTTCTACGGTAGTATCGTAATCCGTCACTGTCTTTGATGTACGCAATCGTTTTTATATGTTATTGAGATATGCTGAGGGTGTAGTATTGCCGTCACCTTTCAACCGGCCGCAACTTGTTGGGTAGTGATCTCGGTTGACCGAGGATATTTGAAAGCCTTGGATGCACCCCTTTTCAACCTTGCGAGTTGTCTATTATCGGCCTCCACACATTACAGACATTCGTTGCATCATGCCAAACAAGCCGATGAGGCCCACAATTTCCATCTGAGCCGATGGCTCAGTGACGTATGACAGAACGTCAGGCACCGTTCCTGACTTGGCGATGTTTCCTCCTGGGCCAGCGGCGTGGTGCACCACCCGTGCCACCGCTGAGAATGCATCAGTAGGATGTGTCTGTGATGCGGCAATAGCAACAATATCGTCCAAGCTCTCGCGAGTGGCTTCAGAGTTCGTCTCGGCCTGGTCGGCTTTGTTTTCAGCCGCAGCATTTTTGTCATTCGCCACCGCCGCGGACACAAGCGCCATAGCATCTTGGATGAGAACGGGATTATCCATTCCTTTCGCAAACACATAGAACAACTTGAACTTCTCCAAGCGAGTCAAGGATGTGTTTTCGTCCTTCAAGAAGCCCTCCATGAGACAAAACGAGAGAGCGCGTTTCACCTCGTCGTTCTCCAGCTCCTCATCAAAGCGGATATGGCACCCGAATTGGGCCTTGCGCCACTCGACATTATCGGGTGTTGAGTTGGGAATGGATTTGTACCAGGAATTTTCCGTGGACAAGGCCGTGACGACGTTCGGGATGAGGGCGACGAGCCCCCACACGTTGGTGATATGGGCCCATGTCCTGCTCCACAGATTGGACGGGTTGAGTGTGGCGATGACACGCGCGCGGGCGGTGCCGATATGTGCCCTGCCGTCGTCTTTCGCCATGCTGTCTGTGACGTTGAAGGGGAGGTTCCGCGGGGCAAGGATGAGCTGTGCGACGGGAGCGATCTCGCTTTCCAAGGTGATGCCCAACGCGTCGACGTTATAATTGAGCCAGCCCATGAAGGCGAGCATAGCGGCCGCGTCCTGGTATGCCTGCTTACCGAAGTGGTTCTCGAAAGCGGCTCTAGTGTCGCGCGTGAGCGCGGGCGGGACGGAGCAGACCTCCTGGATGAGGTCGTAGACGAGCTCGTCGTGCTCCTGCTTGTCGTCGGGGAGGAGGTGCCCGGCGCGGAAGCTCTGCTGAACGCGCGAGCCGGCGAGGGCGTCGCCCATGCAGGCGGTGTGGGCCGTGCAGAAGGGGCAGCCGTGGGCGATGGAGGAGCCGACGAGCAGCAGGCTGCGGTGGTGTGCGTTGAGCGGGGAGAAGCCCAGGTCGATGGCGGGTATGCGGAAGCAGGCGCGCAGCGCGCCCATGTACGGCTTGACGGCGACCGGCGAGAGGCTCGCGATGCGGGCGTAGCGCGTCAGCGACACGCCCACGAGGCGCTCGGACAGCGCTAGGAAGGAGCCGTACTCGGCTAGCACGTCCGCGCGGGACGGCGCGTGCGGGTCGAGCGACTCGTACAAGGTGGTTGGAGGCATGGTCGGGGGGCGGACGGGGTGATGCGAGGGGGCGGCCGGGGGGCCG